TGTCATGATTCAAAGGCAAATGTCTGGAAATGGCTGTATCACATTAAATAGGTGCTTTATAATTGGTCAGACCCAGTTCATGTTCTGATCTGTCACAGTGAATCCAAGGACATTCAAAGGCCCAGTGCTACTGCTTTAACTTTCATATACACAAATTCTAACGGATATGTAGGTTTTTTATTGGATTAAGACCAAGTTGCTTGGTACCAGTGGCTCTCACCTGTAATCTTAACTACTTATGGTGCTGAGAGGTGAGGATCCCGGTTTGAAGTCAGCCTGAGCAGTAAAGTCCATGAGACTCTTATCTTCAGTAAACTACTCAGAAAAAGCCAGAAGTGGCACTGTGACTCAAGTGGAAGGGTATTCGACTTGAGCACAAAGCGCCTTGGGGTCAGAGCCAAGGTCCTGGTTTTCAAGCCCCAGGACCAGCAAAAACAAACAAAACTAACAAAATAATACACCAAAAAACCAAAACAACCTCTAAGTCATTTATACTATATGGAAATTCCTCCCTCTTTTTTTTGTTATTTTTAGGAATTTATATAGAGTGTCTAGGATTGGAACTCAAGATGTATTTTCTCTGCTTGCTCATTACACTCTTACTATACCACTTAAGCCATGCCATCAGCCTGACTTTTGCTAGTTATTCTGGAGCTAAGGCATCAACTTTTTTGCTTGGATAGCTCTGAAAACACAATCCTCATTTTAGCCTCCTAACAGGTAAGATTTATAGGCGTAAGCCACAGGCACCTGGCAACATTTTATTTTGAGTTGAAATCCATGTTGATAGGAAAACCATTATGAAGTTGATTCAGCTGGACAAATTATTCCTTAAACCTGATGAAGATATTGTTCTTCTTGGCTACTCTTTGAGGATATTGATCCATGAATCAAATGTACAATATTGTTTTGCTGAGCTATACTTTGTTCTTAATCATCCTGGATCCTTTTTCTTTCCCTAAGTGTATATAACTAAGATTGGGTTTTAATTGCATTGAGAAGCATTACATTGGCAACACTGGCATTAAATAAAAAAGCACTTAACAATAATCTTCTAAACTTTCCTTAACTCTTTGAATTTTTGGTTTTATGTGTTAAAATTTTACCAGGTTTCTGAATTCTCCCATGAAGCTGAACTACCATTCATTTTATTTGATGTTCCAATGATTTGGATTGTAGTATGAGATTACACATGGGAATAGAAGGCCATTAGAGAGAAATAAAATCCTTTGTACAGAACACATAACCCTCGATACTAGCCGTTAGCATTGCACAAATAGTGATAAAGGGATGACATGGCTAATATTGCACTCTGTCACATGAGACCAATTGCTTGTACAGCTTTGTGGGACTTAGTATAGAACTTCTAATTTTAACTTTAACCTTTTAATAGACATAAATCTGGTTACTCAAACCACAAATAGACACGAAGTCTCCATTGTGTATAATGTACTGAACTCTTGTTTACCAAATATACAAGTTATGTTTACATGAAATGTAATTAAATAATTAAGAGTCTGAAAGTCTAATTCATGGAGAAAAGACTGAGTTTTTGGGAAAATGAAACTTAGGTAACAAATGTCATCCTGTTCTTCAATATAAAATGTACATTTACAAAGATTTTTTATCTTTTTTTTCCATTTTATTTAGCCCTTGAGAGGTAGAGAGAGGAGAATCTTGCTTTCTTTTGATTTAGGGTTAAATGAATGCTCTGATACTTTCCTTAAATGTAATATTTTCTTTCCTTTGATTATGCTGATTGGTATATATTGGCACTTTAAAAATAGTGACCTGAGGGGCTGGGAAGGTGGCTCAGTGGTAGAGTGCTTGCCTTGCATGACTGAGGCCCTGGGTTTGTTTCCTCAGCACCACATAAGCAAAAAGAAAAAAGCCGGAAGTGGTGCTGTGGCTCAAGTGGTAGAGCGCTAGCCTTGAGCTGAAGAGCTGAGGGACAGCGCCCAGGCCTAGAGTTCAGGCCTCATGACCAGACCCCCCCCCCAAAAAAAAATAAAAATAGTGACCTGAGAATTTGTGAAAGGTTGAAATATATTTCAATTTTAAGACTTTAACTCATAAATATAGTTTTTACTGTCATGATTCTGTATGAACTATCAATGCTCTCTCTTTTCCCCCCCTTTCCCCCCCAATTATTTGTAATTTCCATGATTATGCTGATCTGAACTGACCAGAAATTACATGTGGTTAAAATTAAATATAAGTAACTAATATGAGTTTCCAATGATTATAGTCTTATTTTTTTGCCCATGAATAGATGAATTGAAATATGTGTTTGGACTATTTTATATATTGTATAAAAATTCAAATACTAGTCAGGAATGATTGCTCACATTTGTAATCCCAGGGACATGATGGCAGAGATGAGGATGGTAGTGATTCAAGTCCAGATGTGGAAACTGGTTTGGAAGCATAGTTTGAGAATCAGTGACTTTTACTTCTGGTATACCAACTCATGTATTATAATTAACATTTTGCTTTGAACTACTTTTTATCCCCCTAGAATTGGTTCTGAAGCTTGAACATATTGCCTATACATTGTCCTTTAATGATTTTGGTCAGGGCCTACATTCTACCATTTAATCCACATCTCCACTTTTGGCTTTTTGGTGGTTACTTCAAGAGATGAGTCTCATGGGCTTTGGTGCCTGGGCTTGCTTTGAACCCTGACCCTCAGATCTCAGTCTACTAAGTAGCTAGGATTACAGGTATGAGCCAGAGTACCCAGCTAAAATTAATTTAAAAAACCTACCTCATTTCATTTGTAGTGTATGTGTGTTTTAGTGTATGTGTCATGTGTTTTGTGCATGTATGTGTGTTTATATACACCTTCATACATTCATATAAAGACAGAAATATGGAAGGAAGAAAAGGAGGAAAGGACAGAAAAATGTGTAAACAGTAAGCACCACAAACTGACACCTGAAAGACAGAGAACTACAGTACTAGCAAGACAAAAGGGAACAAAGATTCTATATCATGCTATATCATAATTATTTTGTTACCCTAGCAACCATCTCTTTGGGGCTCCTATTCTCTCCATTTAAAAAAGTCTAGTGACTTCTTAGAGGACACTTCTGTCCATCAGCCTAAAATATTCTCAGTTGGGACTTCTCTTTAATTTATAATAAGCAGTTCCCTCTGCCTCACACTTAGGTTTCATGATTATATTTCTCCATCTTCCCCCACCCCTTTTTGAGGAAAACAATAGTAATTGCACAATTTGAAACTGTCTGGCGTGTGTGGGTAAACTGATTTCAAATGAACAAATATAAATCATGTTCTTGTGTCAAACAATTCCCTATACCTAAAAATAAATAATCCTGATAAACTTCATAGCACTAGATATGGGAATACAATTAAAATTTAGAAGCTAAACACAATTTGGAAATACTAATTTTAAAGAAATTACAGATTTTTGTCCCAAATGCCAAGGCATATAAATATTGAAAGTTGTATTTATAAATTGGTTTAACATTACTGCAATGTTACTTATTGTGTATACCTATATTTATATTGTAGTATATGGTGATTTTTTGGCTCATAGATTAGAAACAATATATTACACTCAGAATTGATGTCCTTTTATCGTTCTCCCACCATCCCACTGATTATCAAGTATATTTAGAGAAGATAGCTCATTGTGCTGGGTGATTAGATGCCTTAATTGTATAGTAGCTTGCTTCCAATTAACATTACAATGTCATATTGATTTTTCTTGTTTCCATTACAGAAATTAAAGCAGAATCTGTTTAAAATGAGCTTCTAGATATATTCTCGATTTGATTGGTTTTGAATATCAGCTATTGTAAACTATATTTTCTTCAGTGATCCCATCACTCTTTCTGATATTTTCCTACAAATGCAGTTCTCTGCTATGTTGATTAGCTTCACCGTAGTTAGCTATGAAACGATAGTTTAAAAATTGTGGAATAGAATAGACCCTGGAGATGTGGTTCAGTGCTATAATATTTATCTGTCATATATGAGGACTGGCTCAGTGCTATAATATTTATCTGACATGTATGAGGCCCTAGCTTCTATCCCTAGCATCATGAAATATATATACATACATATGTGTGTGTGTGTAGAGAGATTATATATTTTAATTCTTGCTTCTCAGAAGTCTGCTACATATATATATATATATATATGTGTGTGTGTGTGTGTATATATATATATATATGTTTATGGACTTCTGCAGCAGTATTAGATGGTGTCTCTTTTTTTTCTTTGGTTGGGGCTCCAGGTTGCACTCCAGGCCTGGGCACTATCCTTGAGCTCTTCCTTGAGCCACTTCCAGTTTTCTATCAGTTAATTGGAAATAAGAGTGTCATGGACTTTGCTGCCAGAGGTAGTTTTGAACTGTGATCCCCAGATCTTAGACTCCTGGGTAGTTAGGATTACAGGGGTGAACCACCAGCACTCAGCTTAGACTCCTTATTCTTTTTGCCACAAAAAGTAGTAAATTTAATTAGATTTGAAATACAAATTTAAATTTATTGAATCAATTTAGTGTTGGCTATACATGATATAAATATTTAGTGATGATGTATAAGGTACTCTACTAAATGAGATGTAAGATGGAAAGGTAAGTAAGATAAATACATTGTTTATGGAGCTAGTAATTGATACAGGTGGGTAAAGTATGTGGCAACAATCATAAAATCAGACCTTACGAGATAAAGATTATATGTAGAGTAGAAATGAAAAAGTTCATACTTGGTTAGAAGACTCGTAGTGCAAAAACCTTATTGCATCAAAATAGTTATTTGCGCCTTGAAGCCTTTCAAAGTTAGTGTTGGAGTTTTATGCTTTGGAATATCTCTGAGGTACCCTCAGAGAGTCAATATTTGAAACAAAAGAAATAATAAAAGTAGATACATGTAAAGACAATATTATCAGATTTGAAAACCAAAATTTCATTTTGTATATTTACTGTTTAAAATAAAGGAACTTATCTGGTTGTTCTCTTTCTTTCTTAGCTGGGTTAACAACTTCGGTCATGAAGGTCTGGGACTCCTTTTAGATGTGCTGGAAAAGCTCCTGGACAAAAAACAGTAAGAAAAAACATTTAAAAAATTTCACCAAAAGGGAAATTTGAAATGCAATGTAATATGATCTATTTTTTTTATTTAGGCAAGAAAATATTGATAAAAAGAATCAGTATAAACTTATTCAATGCCTCAAAGCATTTATGAATAATAAGGTAAGTTGTACTTATTTCTGCCTCTATTATGAAACAAGAAAACTTCCCTAATGGTATGAAAAGTATGAAACAGAAAAAATAGTGTGTGCTTATTCACTTTACAAGAGTCTTTATGATGCAAATCATTATAACTTTCAAAATACTTCATATAATATTTATTGGTAAGTTTTGCAGTTGCACAAACCTACTAGTAGTCTTTCCAATTTTGGTAATTTTTTCCTTTTATGGTAATAGGAAATTTAAATGTTTTAAGTTGAATACAATTTTCACTCAGAGAGGTTTTATTCAATTGAAAATAAATGATCAAGGATAAGCTTTTACTTGTGTGTCGGGCATTGTAAGGTTAAGATTTCTCTTTTATGTTCTAATGATATCAGTGGTTAGCCTGTAAAAGACATCTCTGGATGACAGCAGGGGGCTAATGTTACTGTTTCCACAGTGGGACCTGGGAACGAGATTTCTGGTATAGGCACTTTGTCTATACACCATGAGGGTATAGACAAAGTTTATTGAAACTTCACATGCTTATGTACAGCACACAGGCAGGAGAAGTAAATCTTCAGTCAGGGGCAGAGAGTTAATCTTAAACAGTTTTAAGGGAACACAGACAATGAGAGTTGAACTTTTAAGTCAGTAAACAGGAAAAGTTAATCCTTGTTAACAAATGTGGAGTAGTTCCAGTAATCAAGGTTGTAAAAGTAGGTAAAGCACAAGTGAATACACAAAGAGGGTCTCAAGGCATTGTTCTATGGGGTTAACTAGGAGAAGCATGAATGGCACTTTCTACAAACCATCACCTGATTCTGGTGCTGGGCGCAGAACCTTTGCCCCACATGGAGGAAGGGGTGTCCCTTACTCCCCCAGAGGAATGTATGCTTGGATGTATCCTCAGGGCACACAGGAGCTCAGATGGGGTTATGCAGGTCAATGCCTCCAAAAGCATAATATATAATAACTTATATAATATATTTTATATAATATATACAATACCATGTATGTAGGATAGTGTAAAATTTACACTAAATTTTCTTTTGTCTTATAAATTCTCCCTCTATATGGCTACAAGTATAATACTATAAACTAATTCATTTAATTACATAATTATATTTAGAAGGTGTTTTAATAATCTTAAAATTCTTAATAGAAATAAATGAAACAATAATCAGAAACTTGCCACATGTGAACAATAGCTATTAATAAGCGATGTTCTCCCCCCCCTCCCCCCTCCCCCCGTCATTCCTGAGGCTTGAACTCTGGGCCTGGGCGCTGTCCTTGAGCTCTTCAGCTCAAGGCAACTGCTCTACTACTTGAACCACAGCACCACTTCTGGGTTCCTGGTGGTTAATTGGATATAAGAGTCTCATGGACTTTCTTGACTTGGCTTTGAATGCAGTCTTCAGAGTTCAGCCTCCTGAGTAGCTGGGATTACTGGCATGAGCCACTGGCGCCCATTTTGCAATTATATTTAATAATTTGCAAACAGTCTTTGTTAGGCATATGTAATTACACATAAGTATGCACATGTTCTATGATCTTCAAGGAATATTGCATTGTGTCAAATATGATTGCTGGTGGGCATGAGTCTCCTTCATAGAATATACTCTTAGTGGTGTTTCTGGTAATGTCTTATAAAAAGGCTCCTACCAGTTCCTACCAGAATTTCTTTATTTCTGTGTTCTTTAATCTGGCTAAAAAGTATGTGATATCTAACAAGAAGCGCTAAGTGAACATAGATTTCTTTTTGCATTTGAGAGCCATAATAATATAATGGAAAGGGAACAAAGCACTAGAGATCAGGAGATATGGTTCATATATTGCCAGTAATAAGTTGAAATAGCGTTTGGAAAATGAATTAACCTATGGCTGATCATGCTCCCCATCTGTAAATTAAGATTAGTTACAAATTCCTACTGACTGCCCTTGTCAACTGTCAAAGACTTACAATCAGAATAGTCACTCCAGGAAGTTTTAGTAGTAGTAAGCCTTTCTAAGAAATCCTATTACTACAGGATATACCTTGATACAACCGCACATTTTTTCTATTTTGTAATGGTTTGGCAGTTTTGAAGAACATATTTTGATGTAGATTATCCTAACCTAAGGTTAGATTTTATGCTGTATTTATGTCTTTCACATAGGCGCTTAGAACATGAATAAACAGTTCTTTTAAAGTATAAGCATGTGAGACAATTGGCATAACTATTCAAATTAAAAATATACAATATATTAACATTATATAGGAATAAGTATTGTATTGCAATAAGTTCTTTTTAACTGAAAAAACTTTATTTTTCAAATTTGGATAAGACCACTACAGAAACATATTGCAGAAGAGAATTACAACAGGACACTGAATTTTGTGAATTATATTAAGTGAAATTAGCCAGATCCAGAAATAAACAGAGGTTGCATTGCAATAAATTCTTAAAATCTTAAAGCATTGAATTATCTTGGTCCTTTAGCGTTTAGCATATTCTGAAAACTCTTTTCCCCTGTGCTTGTACTAGTATGACCATGAAACCAATCTATTGTTTCTTAATATCTATTGACATAATTTTACTCTTATATTTGGATTGATGCTTTTCCAAATTTATTTCTTGTATCTTTAGTTTTATAGTATTTCCCTACATGCTAGAAATTATTAAACAAGTAAAAATTAAGAAAATTAAATGTTTTCAATCTCATTTGATTGATTTGACCTATGAATTTAAGAGCATTAGGTATATTTTGCCCTACCACAAGTTTTTTTGTAAGTTAAATTATTATTATTAGCATTCATATGTTTAGTACTTAGCTAAAATTTACTTTAAAGTGGCAACTGTAATCTGATGACATGTTAAACTTTACCATTTGACTAAAATGAAGGAAACATATGAGAAACTGAGAAGTAATTTGTGTGATAAAAATGAAACTAAACACTGTCTTCCTGGTACAACAAATCTCAAAGATATATCTATTAGACCTTTGTGCATTTGGGTACACCTATGTAGGGTTTAGCTTAAAACCTATGTGAAAATGGTGTCTCCTTTGCTTAATTGTGGTTCTTAAAAACCAGGTAGTATTTCTTTGCTATTAAAGTGTTTGTGGTTATCTGATATAGGAGTATAACTGTAAGAAGGTATGGGAAAATCCATACCAAGGTTTACTGCTTTTTTAAGTGGTTCATAATATAAAATAGAGATTTTATATTTTAACCAAAAATTTGTGCTTACCTTCATTGTACTGGGCAATTTAACCAGGCATTTTAGACTTTTCCAGGGATACCAAGTGACATACGAAGAATTTTACAATCGTATTATTTTGTGGCCAATATTCCTTTGTTGAAATGATACTGATCCTATATTTTTCCTGAAGTTTTTATGTACTTCTTAGTACAGGCTACTGGAGGCCATACTTGATCACAGCACAAGATGCAGTCATTTCAAATAAAGAAACAAAGATATAATTTCATTTGAAAACCCTTTATATGGTTAGGTAGAATTTTACTTTGGAAGCATTTGCTTTTGAAAAAAAGTGACTTAAGTCACTTTTTTTAAACATGGAAGATAAGTTTCATAGCCATTTTAATTTTGAATGGAAGTTCTTTCTTCCTTTTTCTTTAGTTTGGATTGCAAAGAATTCTGGGAGATGAAAGGAGCCTTTTCCTATTGGCAAGAGCAATTGACCCCAAACAACCCAACATGATGACTGAAATAGTAAAATTACTCTCTGCTATTTGTATTGTTGGAGAAGACAACATGTAAGTATTACTGTATTTTACTTACTACACTTAAAACGATACTTGAGAAATTAAGTCTTACTTATGTTTTTACATGGAAAATATATTAGATGTTAGGAAAGTTTGGGTTAATATTTTATATTGTGTGTATGTATTTTGTTGATAGTGTGAAAAGTAGGTTTTGAAAGAATCCTAAAAGGAAATTCTTCAAAAATGAATTAAAAATTGATAAATACACACCCATCCCCCCCACTGTATGTCATGCTTTTTGACTCACTGAATTCACTGTTTGCTTTTATACTATTATCTTCTGAAAGTTATTTTTTTCACTCACTTATGTTCACTAAATTTTGTACAAATTATTTGCAAAATGAAATAACTTAAACTGTTAAAAACAACCCAAGGTTGTTGATAGTGTGTGTGTGTGTGTGTGTGTGTGTGTGTGTATGCGTGTGGCAATTAATTACATGGTAATAATACTGACTCTGAAGCAAAAGTTAGAAGTTCATGTCATTAATGAGTCAGGTTTTAAGAAGTCGTAGCTTCTTAAATATATTCTAAAGACAAAATATTTCTTGGGAAAACATAGTGTGATAATGATACTTTCCATATGAATCAAAATGTTTGGTTTTGGTTCTTGGTGCGTAAACTGAGGGCTTGGGTGTTTTCTTGACTTCTTTTGCTCAAGACTAGGACTCTGCCACTTTCAGCCACAGGTTCATTTCTTGCCTTCTGGATGTTAATTGGAGATAAAAGTCTCTTGGACTTTCATGCCTGGGTTGTCTTTGAACCAAGATTTTTGGATCTCAGCCTCATGAGTAGCTAGGATTTACAGGCTTCAGCCAGTAGCACCTGGCAAGATGTATGCTCTAATATGTTGACTTTCTTAAAACCTTTTGAATAAATGAGATGTTGCTTAGTGCTACCTACCATCCTTAGAGATCAAAAACATATATGTTAAAAAGTATGCTATGTATAAATTTAACTCTTTTCTCAATGATAACAAATGACATACCAGTAGCAGAAGTAGTTTCCTAATGCTATATATAAAAATCAGTTTGTATGTCAATATTTTAGTAAATATTTTCACCTCTTAATCCATAAATTATACACTAACCTCATACAATTTTTGATTTAATTATAATTTTTGATATCATTTGTTAGTAATAGAATACTGCATAGAATTTAAGTTGATCTTAGCATTGTATGGAGATACCAGTACTTTTGCTTAGATGAATTGGTTTCTTACATACAATTTTTTTTTAACTTGATAGTGGACCTATTCCTGAGATTTTAGCTCAAGGCTAGTGTTCTATCATTTTGAGCCACAGTGGCACTTTGGGTTTTCTGGTGGTTAATTTGAGATTAGAGTCTCATAGGCTTACGTGCCTGAGCTGGCTTCAAATCAGATCTTAGCCCCCTGAATTGCTAGGATTACAGGCATTAGCCACAGTGCACTGCTTATGCTGATGCTTTTAATTGCTAGGAACTTTTCTTTTTAAAATGTCACTCTATTTACACTTGAATAAATGGTTTAATTTAATTTTCTTTTGCGGTACTGGTGCTTGAACTTAGGACCTGTACATTTGATTGACTTTTTTTGCTCATGGCTGGCACTCTACGACGTGAGCCATGGCTTCAGTTCCAGCTTTTTAAAAATTAATTAGAGATAATGAGTTTCTTGGAATCGTCTGTCTGGGCAAGCTCAAATGACAATCTTAGATATCTGCTTACTGAGTAGCCACGTATGTGGTCCACAAGCATTTTTTTAAAGGTTCACACAGAAGCTTTTTTCCCAATTAATTTTTTATGCTCTAAAATTATTTAAAAAGCATCGGTATTTGACTTGTAGAAGTATATTGGCAGAAGAACAATCTACATATTGTAATAGTATTTCACTTAGAAGGAATAAATTTAATATAATGAGTTGTACATTATTGTACCTACAATAATAGTGTCATGTATACACAAAAATCAAGTATGTGAGATCATGTATACATTACTTTGGTTGATTTTTGCCATTTTCCAAATATATATGGTTCAAAATATTGTGTTATATATTATAAATACATATATTAACTTCTCTTTTAAAAAGTACAAAATAACTAAAGATTTTTTATTCATAAGTCTTTTTATTGTGATAATACTGTACAGAGGGGTTACAATTACATGAGCAAGGTAATGAGTACATTTGTTATCAAGCATTGTTGCCTCCTCCTTTTTTTCCCCTTCCCACCACCCCCCAAGTTGTAAAGTTCGTTTTTCAACATAGCATCTTGTACATTTCATTGTTACAATGGGTCCACCTGTATCCCTATTTAAACAATTTGTTTTTTCCCTTCCCCTCCCCAAATTATACTAACATCAAATATAGTGAAAACAGGGGTTATACCATTGGGGAGGGACATACAAAGCTATATAAGCTGTAAGCACTGGAATCAAATAGGTAAGTGTACATGGAATAATATATGTGCAAAACGTGTAAGAAATATTTGTCATTTCTGTTTTCTGTTTTTTCTTTCTCTCTCTCTGTCTCTGTCTCTCTCTCTGTCTGTCTCTCTCTCTTGCTCTACAGCCTAGACAAACTTTTAGGGGCTATTACGGCAGCAGCAGAAAGAAATAACAGGGAACGATTTTCACTAATTGTGGAAGGATTAGAAAGTCATGAGGCCTTGCAGTTACAGGTGAGTTCCTCTTGTTTTAAATTGCTTTTAATTATATTTAGAGTACTTATTTTCTATGACACCAACTGCATTTTAGCTGTTATTTAAATAGAATGCAATGTAAAAGTAAAATACTTCGTGATGCTACACATTTTGTTTGTGGGAATAAAAATTTGTTTAAAATTAGGAAAACTACTTCTGAATTATAAGTATGGCACTTATGATTATCATTGATATCATAATTTAGTGATTAATATAATAAAATGTGGAAATAGAGGCCTCAGTAATACTCTTGGCCAAAAAACAATAGTTGAATCAACGTCACATTGTTGCAAGTGTTACAGAAAAGTTAGGGTTTTGGTAGAAATTTTAGAAAATTAAACACATCTCTCTGTGCCATTCAGACAGCAGCTGAAGGTGTTACTTACCAAAGTGGTGGGATTGAATTGCAACCCCTATGTCAGAGTCCATGTACTAGCCCTTTGTAGACACAACCTAACCTAAATGCCCTTTGTAGACATAACCTAAATGGCAAAACAGGTTGACTATTCTTAGGTGGATTCTGGTAATGACTTTGTTATTGATTAGTGAGAAATCATTTTTATTGCCCATATTTATAATATGGCTTGAATAAAATGTTTTATTTTGCATATAGCATTTAATTTCTCAAAATCTTTTATAAATGTTGGCTCTTATTTGTTTCTGAGATGAATAAACTGAGGGAGATAAATTATTTGTGGAAAGGTAACACACCTTGTGAAAGCTAGAATTTTATGCCAGTTTGGTCTCGGATAGTAATTGTTTTTTTGTTTTTGTTTTTTTCATCAGTGTCTATGCCATTTAATGCACCATGAAAAATGGTCTTTGTGATGTGTTTTAAGGTCTTGCTTTGCCATTTTACAGAGAATATATTTCCACATTTAATTTTATGAAGTTATATTATACTGTTTATTATATTAGTTATCTGTTGTGAAACAATCACTCTTGATTTTCTTTTTTTTTTTTTTTACTGGATTAAAAAGCATCTATACTTTTTTTCCCCAGAGTTTGAAATTTATCAGATAAATGAACTGGCTTATCTAAATAGAATCTGTAGTGTAATAAAAATATAATACTTCTTCAAATATTTAAAGATTTTTCTGTATCAATTCTTTTACTTCAATTATGAGTAAAATTTTGATATACTTTTATGTGTCCTTTTTATATCAAATATGATTTTTAAATTGAGATAGCTTCCACTGTTTTCCTTTTCCTCCTTGTCATAAAATTTCATGTTAATAAAATTTCCTACCTCTAGTGAAAGATCGAAATCTGTCTCTGTTTTAGATGCCTTTTTGAAATTTTGTTGTTATTCTTATGATTGGACTTAACTAAATTTCCTTGACTTTAACATATGTATTTGTTGCTTGCACCATTTGTATTATGGAAAATAGTAATTAATTATATTCAGTTTTTTACATTCCTTATGCAATTCACCACACTTGAGCTATGAATATTTACATATTTAAGAAATGTTTTTAATATAATTTTTGTTATTAAGGTGTTGTACAGAGAGATTATCATTTCTTAAATCAGTTAATGAGTACAGTTCTTTTTTGAACAATGTCACCTCTTTGTATGCTTTCTCTATACCATTTAAAAATTAATTTTAAATAATAATTCTATGAGTTACATATTATCCTCTGAAGTTTACTGATCAAGGAATTGAGTTTCTGGGAGATGATACCTACTTACAAACACACAGCTGTTAAGGAAGTAGAACTATGATTTGACTTAGGTTTTTGAGCTTCCAACTTTGATATATTGTGTTACTTATCCTTTAAAATGACACCTCTACCATACAGTAGTTTAACCCCAAGAGATGTGTCTAATCTGACATTTGCTAGACTTCAGGAAGCTGTACACAATGAAATGAGAAAATAGTAATTGTTTAACAAATAACATATGGAAGAATTATAGACATCTTGCTAAGTATTAAAGAAATTGTTGAAGACTGATTATAGATGCAAACATATGCAAGCTACAATTTGAAATTCCTTACTTTAATGAGCTACAAATATTAGTACTTTGTTATATACAGGGCTTAGTGCTCTCATAAGAATTGTGAAGTGGGCTTTTTATTAGGCGTATTTAATGTCAATGAAAAAATAATTCTCTAAAAGTTCAAAAATATATTCAGAATGCAGAAACGAAAAACAAAAGTTTAAATCTGCTGTTTAAAAAATATAATTAGTGCTGTTTTTTAACAAAATTACTTTTCTATTTTGGTAATATCCTGAGACTTCTCAAAATGTTATTACAGTCTCAGGAAGTAATTCTGTTAAAATACAGGACTAATTATCTTTTTAAATAACAACTATATACTTCCCCTATTTGATTTTAAAACAGGTTATTAATGTCTTCCAGGAGTTTTTTTCCTTGTAGAGTTGTTTTCCTAACTCACTTTTGAAGGGAAATTTGGTATGTAGGATAGTATTTTCATTACTTTTCAGTCTTTAAAAGGAATACATGAGAAATTACAGGTGGTTAGGTGCTGTCTTCATTAACGTCTTCGTATCAGGAGCATTTTCTATCTCGTGTACTGCACTACCTTCTTTTCACACTTCTTGCCAGCCTTTCATCCCTTTTCATTTTGTACTGCATGTGGCAAAAAGAATAATCTATACTTGTTTCTACTCTTTCCAAATTACCATTCAAAACTCAGCACTCTCACTATATTTTTATTTTTATTTATTTTTTTGTCCAGGGAGAATTTATGTTTAAAAATTTTTTTTTAATTTTATTTTATTTGTGAACATACTATACAGAGGGGTTACAATTGCATGGGCAGTATAATGCTTACATTTCTTACCAAGAATTGCAGCCTCCTCCTTTGTTTACCCCTTCACATCACTTCCCAGGCTCCCCCCTCCCCCC